AGAGAGAGAGAGAGAGAGAGAGAGAGAGAGAGAGAGAGAGAGAGAGAGAGAGTGTGTGTGTGTGTGTGTGTGTGTGTGTGTGTGTGTGTGAGAGAGAGAGAGAGAGACAGTGTGTTGTTGTGTTTTTTTGGGGGGGGGGAGGGGAGGGGAGGAGGAGTTCATTCTAAATTCCCCAACTTCTACTGCAAAGTTCTGACTCCAATCTGAACATTCCCAAAGTTTGGGATGCACGTGTTCATATTTCAGGGGTTGGGCACAGTTCTAGGATGCACCAAAGAAACGTTTTAATGGAAGTGTGAGTGGCAAGACAGAGGAACATTGCACAGTTATGGAACAGCCTAAATATTTTTGGAGTGTGAGTGTGTGTGTGGGTGGGAGAGGAGCTTGATATTCAGAAAGTGGTGCAGTCAAGTGTATGTTTAATCTGCTGCCAGAGTTTCCATGGCTGTATGTAAGTCAGCTATCTGTGCCCACACACTGCTAATTATGGCAACTAGGTGGTTATTTGAGGGGCCAAAACTGCAAAGGTGGGTCAGAGAAACTGCAGACCTGTCTGAAAATCAAATCCTAGTGTATAGTCAACTGAAGACTTCAAACCTAGTCAGTGACCCATGGAATACACCGAGACATTTTAGCTGTTTTGTTTGCCCTAGGTTAGAAATTAAGTTTACATTTCTTCTGTGCTATAGCCACTCATTCCCCATTCATAGGGCCCAGCCTTTTGTCACGTTTTAATCCAACAAGTGCCTAGTTTTGTGCTGAGTTGGACAATGCTGGTGCTATTTGGATTAAATCCTCTAGCTCAGAGAATGGGACAAGACTGTGCCTCGCTACTGAGAACGTGAAGCCTTTTGTATACAGGTCTCAGTACAAGTGATGTTTGGGGAGGTTGTGTTTTTAGTCCAGAGACAAAGTGTTTTAGAAGCAATTTCAGTTTATCTTGCTTAATGACTGAAGTTAACTGAGCCCTGTATATGTCGTCAGAGCACCGTATGAGCATCTTTAAGCAGGACAGGTTGAGGATTCCCCAAACATTGTCAACTGATTCCTCACTAGGTGATAACCAAGAGATCAAATGTTTCTATCAACAGCTATGAAGTATAATTAGCTTCTGGTTATGCTTCCTAGAGGTCAGTGACATTTGGGCACTGGGGTCAACACTCCACTGGTTTGCTACCAGGACATAGGGAAGAGCTAGCCCTGGTCCATACTTAATATTTAGATTCACCTGGCTGCACCACTCACACCCCTGAGCACCATAGCTATGCAGACCTAAGCCCTGGTGTAGATGTGGTTAGGCTGACAGAAGAATTCTTCCATCGACTTAGCCACCGCCACTCAGAGGTGGATTACTACCTACATCAATGGAAAGCCCCTTCAGTCGATGCAGGAAGTGTCTACGGTACTGCTGCTACAGCGCTGTAGCTATGTTGGAGACTTTTCTTGAATACTTCAAGTCATCGCCCTTGTGCTGGCATCCTGTCCTTGTGCTTTCAATCCGAGGAGGCTTGAGTTGGATCAGTACTTTGACGGCACATCTCCACAGAACACCTAAGTTCTACAGAAAGTGGCATCCCTTCCCCAAAATCACTATTGATCCAGTGGTTTCAGGGCACTGGGTCACCAAAGGTGAAGACTTTTCAATAAGACCCCAAAACCAGGTCCTGGCCATCTCTGGTTTTCAAAGATCTCATGGAGCTTTTTGAGAGAGGTAGGAATGCAAATCAGCAGCCTAAGGAAAATCCAATTTATGTAATTATATCTTGTCTGCTTAACTTCATCATCCAGTTTTGAATAAATATGACGTGTTTTCCCTCACTTTCTGTTCTACAATGTCACATTGTTTAAGAACAGGTTAGACAAACAACTGTCAGGGATGGTCTAGGACAGATATACCTGGTCCTGTCTCAGCAGAGGAGGTTGGACTAGCAGACTTCTCAAGGTCCCTTCCAGCCCTACATTTCTATAGTTCTATAGTAGTGGTGTGAGCTGTTAAACTGCTGATATAATTCACCTTGGATATGGCAAGAGTAATTCTTGTACACATAGCAGGAATATTCCTGAAATAAAGAGCAATCATCTTGCATCCTTGATTGACTACCTGTGCCATCCATTAATCCATCTCACATTCCAAAGCACTGAGCAAACTTTCGATCCTTCCCATGTTTTCTTCTTCACCAACCCCTCCAGTGCAAAGTTAGACTAATCTACTGTACACATTGGGAATATTCAGCCCTTGACCTCCGTACGGTAACTCACTCATGCCTAGGATGGAGTAGCCCTAATCTAATGCCAATTAAACTCTTATGCCAAACCACCACCACCACATGCATGGGCAGCATTCTGGGATCGGTTTAGAGGAAGGCAGCTACATGCAAGAGAGTCATTCAGGGTGACATTTTTAAACAGTGTAAAAAATTAATAGGAATTGGGTAATTCCCTTAAGACCTTTGAAAATCCAACCCTAAAGGCTTTAGCCATCTTACCAGGGCTCATACCAAGTATCTCAGTGTGTCTATATTTCCTGAGTACATTCACTGCAACTTAACTTGTTTTCTAAATATGCCCTACCTGGCTAAGAACAGCACAAGCCAATCTTGGGGCAGCTTGTGGTTAAGGTGAAATAAGTAAAACTTTTAAAATTCATAAAATCCTCCCTCTGAAAAAATGCAAAATGTTTTAATTTACATTAAAAGTATTAAATTTCATTCTTCTGTCCTGATTAATTCAGGCTGTAGAGGATTCCTTGGAACATAAGGACAGAATATGATCGGGTCTGCAGCTTAGCATGAATTTCAATACATTAACATGTCTCTGTGCAATCAAAATGGTAACAAGGCAGGGCTAAGAGGTGTACTCACATTTTACTTTCAAGGACCTGCATTCAAAGCCCTGTTTGGACTCCAACTGAATTGAGTCTGGGGATGTCACAGTCCCTAGTGGACAGTGGTCCACAAAACAAAATCACCACACAAGTCAACATAAAAGGCAGCTTTTGCTGACACCTGCAATGCTGCTTACCCAGTGATGTTTTCTTGTGTTGGCATTAAAGTTTAATAGATTACTGGGAAACAAAACAGCCTGTTTCCATTTCATTAAGCACACTTGATCAATGATTTAGAACGTGAAAAAAAAGAAAACTAAAACAGACTTTTTCAAGCTTCTAAAGGGCCATTCTAAAAATTACAGTTAGCATGTGTTGACAGTATGAACATCCATCACTTAGACAACCTGACTGCAGCCTTCCTGATCTCATTCATGCTGGCTGTGAGTCTAGGTATCATGCAATCAGGAGACCTCAGCAAGAACTGGCATATGGAAATTGTTAGAATTCACTTGCCATATGGTAGACTATCACCAAACCTGTTGTAGACCAGTCATGGTTCTGCCTCTGCCTTGTTACCCCTTCCATAGGATAAGTGACTGCCCAGAAGAAAGAACCCTGCAAATATCTAGACTATAGTTTCACTTTGAGCTTCCATAGTTTGTATTGCCCAATCTCTAGTCTGTTAGGCAGTGGCATTTTATTTGTTCATCCACTGAAACATGTTCTAATGTTTTTTGAAAGCCTCCCTGCATACAAAGAGATTCTGATCTCAGATAGGTTAACATAAATCCAAAGGAACTACTGATTCCAGTGGCGTTACCTTGA